GCCTGTCTCTTACCTCTCTGGGTTTGCTGGGGAGTTGATGAGTAAACCCTGAGGCCCAAACTCCACCCGAGACCTGTTTTTGGCAGAGGCTAGCCCTCGGGCTACCTTTGCCTCTCAGCTTGGCCTCTGCTGGGCTGGCGTCTCCCTGGCTTGCTGAGGCCACAGCCTCCTCTGTTCTTGACCTCCACAGATGGGTTGGTAAAGCGTCTGGAGGAGCTGGAACGCACTGCCGAGCTGTACAAAGGTAGGTCGGCCGCGAAGTGCCTGCTGCTGCTGGTCTGTCCTGGGGACCCCTGTCCTACAGAGTGTCAGTGGGGCAGGGGAGCTACCTAGAAAGTTTGGGGAACAGTAAATGTAACAGATGCCCCTCCAAATTCCTACACTCCCAGAGAGATCCCCTAGGAGACTGTCATACATAATCCCGGCTGCCTGTCACATGGGATCTGCATAGAGGGCCAACTCAGCCTTCATCCCCAGGCCTTGGGGAAAAGCCTGGGGACCTAATGCCCAGCGAGGACCTCAGGTGGACTGTGAAGCTGGGGGGCCAATGTGATCCCTGATTTCGGTCTCCGTCTTTTGTCACTTGGGTCTCTTCCCACAGGGATGACGGAACACACCAAGAATCTCCTACGGGCCTTTTATGAGCTGTCACAGACGCACAGGGGTAATGGCATCCCCAGATTCATCACGTGACCCTGCAAACCCCTGTCCCTCAGGGCTTAATTACACCGAACAGTGAGGTGTGGCTAGTTCCTCTCTGGGGCCCTTCTCATCCCTATGCCAAGGCCAGTGCCCAGCTCTGACCTCCAACCTCACACCGGGTGGCAGTGATCATGTAGCATCTGGTCCAGCTGACCTTTGGGGGGACGCCACGTACCTCACTGCTACTCACAGTGCAGGCAGCTTCTCTTCATTCTCGTCTCTTCGGGCCCATGTGGGCAGGAAAGACACAACGTTTTGCTGGCCAGGAAAGGAAGCCCCGACAGGAAGTGGGCCCAGAGCTCATGGTGGCAGAGCTGGCATTCAAACCCACGGGTCCAGAATCTCAGCCTGGTGCTCTGCTCTTGCCTAGCATGACCACCTAGATTTTCACTTGGCCTTTTGTCCGGTCACTTGGGGGGACAAAGGCTAGCTCCCCTGGGAGCCTAGGCCCAGAATGAGGATGTAGCTCCTTGGGAGTATGGTGCAGGCCTCTTGAAGATGTACCTCCTTGGGATGTAGACCCTTCGAGCAGACCTTGGCTTTCTGCTCGTCAGGCCCCTGCCCTGCTGCCTAGCAAGCCCCTGGCTTCTCCATTAGGGAGTCAAGCGGGGGCTTCAAGGCAAACTTGTCACGCAGCCTTTGGGGACGTGTTCTCTGTGATTGGGGTGCGGGAGCCGCAGCCAGCAGCAAGTGAGGCATTCGTGAAGTTTGCTGATGCACACCGCAGCATCGAGAAGTTTGGCATTCGGCTACTGAAAACCATCAAACCGGTGGGTCCCTCAGAGTGCAGCATGCCCCACTGGTCAGAGGAGGAGGGACAGCCTAGCACAGGAGGAGTTCTGGGCTGGAGTCAGGTGCCATGCAGACACTAGGTTGGTGTCACCTCTATGGCCGGCCAGCCATGAGTCGCAGTGCCTCCCTGGTCCCTGTTGACCTTAAGACACTGCTGGGTCACTATGTGCCCTTGGCCTGACATAGTCTTCTAACCTTGACACAGTGCCCTTTGGCTGATGCCCAAGTCCACTGGGAAGGATGATACATCTGCCATTTGTCATCCAACCTCTTAGATGCTGACAGACCTGAACACGTACCTCAACAAGGCCATCCCTGATACACGCCTCACCATCAAGAAATACCTGGATGTGAAGTTCGAGTACTTGGTGAGTTGAGTGGTCTGCAGTGCCTGACCAGCTGGGATGAGCCCACCCTGGAGGCCAGCCTAGGCAAGCAGCCGTGCTGTGGCAGGCAGGATGGGGCCAGTCCTCTGTTGAGTCAGGAGTATGGGATTAAAGGGCTGACTAATCAGAAGCAGCCTAGACTGCATTCCCACACCAAGGAGCGCTGAGGTACCAGAGCCTGGTGAGCAGGAGAGTCCTCATTCTCTATCATTTCTGGTCCTTGGGACTTGTCACCTTTAGCAGCAGCTCAGACTAGGTCTGGGATACTTGAAAGGACCTTCGGAGTCCTAAATGATAATCTGATTGTCAAAGAAGCCAGACGATGATCTGTTAAGTATTCAGGTTCCGTGCTGTGCACCTCTCAGAGCCTTGACTAGGCTTGTGCACAGCACGTCTTCAAGGAGCCCCGAGCTGTTTTGCTCCACAAGCAGTACCACCACACGCAGGACCTTTTGGTTTTGGTTTGGGATCTTTACTGTTCTGGAGATAGAACCCCAGGTCTTATGCATGCTAGGCAAGTGCTGCACTACGGAGCCACACCCTCCAATCCCCAGAGCATCTCCTGAGACTTGAATTTGGTCCCTTTTGGATGTCTCCAGCCTTCAGGCCTTTACACCCTCCCAGAGGAGTGCCTCATCGCTCTGCTGCCCCTTTCCTGGGCCTCTGTCCATGTCAGCTTCCAGCCTTTCCCAGGTGGTCCAGGGCTGCTAGGTGGCCTATGGCCACTGCTTTCTTGGTGTGTCCAGGTTCCCAGGTGACCTGAGGGATAGGGAGGCATGACAGGCGGGGCTGGAATCATGAGGATGGGAGTCCAGGAAGTCTGGCTACTGACTTCATGGCCTCACCCATCCCATCCCATACAGTCCTACTGTCTAAAGGTGAAGGAGATGGATGACGAGGAATACAGCTGCATTGTGAGTACCGAAGGGGCCCAGGCTGGTAGCGGGAAGGCTTGGGGTACCCACACTTCCTCTTTAGAAGACCCTGGGTCTGCCAGAGGTATTGGGTGGTGTCAGGCATCCTGGGGTCTTAATTGCTGGAGTTTGGGGCTGTCAGCCCATTCTACCAGCTCCTCTGGCTTGGAGTACCAGCTAGTGTGCCATGAAGTGACTCCTCTAGGCCAGGTGCCCCAAAGTTGTGAGGCTCCTCTAAGAAAAAACTGACTGATTTCACTTCTGAGCTATGCTTTGATTTAAAAAAAACCAGTTGGTGTTTTTTCCTTTTATATGTATATGAGTGTTTACGTGTGTGTGTGTGTGTGTGTGTGTGTGTGTGTGTGTGTGTGTGTGTCCATTCGCATGGCTGGTGCCTGTGGAGGTCAGAAGGGGATGTTGGAACTGAAATTACACAGCTGTGAGCGATCCTGTGGGGCTGGGAACTGAACCCAGGTCTCTGCAAGAACAGTGAGTGTTCTTAACCGCTGAGACGCTCTCCACGCCTGGTTGTTGTGGGTTGTTGTTGTTGTTTCTAATTTGTGATTTGTTTGCAGTCAGGGTCCCTCTTTTAACCAGCATTCATTTATTTCATGTGAGCTGTATTCGTGTTTCTGTGGTTGATTTTTCTCCCTCCAAAGTTACTGCTTTGAGCTTCTGTCCGTCACTGGCGTCTGGAAGCCCATTGTGGTACAGCTGTGAGCTGGGCCAGCCCTGCAGCCTTCCAGCCCCATCTGTCCCCGGGAGGCCCAGGTCCACCCAAGAGCGCTGACAAGCTTGCCTGCCCCAGGCTCTAGGGGAACCCCTATACCGCGTGAGCACAGGCAACTACGAGTACCGCCTGATCCTGCGCTGCCGCCAGGAGGCTCGGGCCCGCTTCTCCCAGATGCGCAAGGATGTGCTAGAGAAGATGGAGCTGCTGGACCAGAAGCACGGTGAGGGGCTCTGGAGGCCCGTGCCCTCCCTGACTCGGTCCTTTCCTGGCACTTCGCCCCAGGGTGGGTGCTCTTCTCTCCCTAGATCAGAGATGAGGCCTAGAGAGGGTAGTCTCCCCGAGGCCTCAGGACCAGGCCCTGGTGGAGTCCACTCAGAACCTGGCTGGGTTGGGGCCAGGGTTTGGGCCCAGGAACACTCACTCAGGCAGCCTTCTCTGTTTCCTGAGCTAGGGGTTTGGAGGACTAGGTGGTCAACTAGGCAGGGCCAGGAAGCCTTTGGCTGTACCACCCTTCCTGAGGCCTGGGGCCCAGGAAGTGTCCCAGCAGGAAGAACAGGCCAGCTCCAGGTCTTCCCTAAGAGGAGGCAGCTGTAGCCACTGGGCCTGTCTGCTCACCTCCTGCCCCAGTCCAGGACATCGTGTTCCAGCTGCAGCGCTTCGTGTCGACCATGTCCAAGTACTACAATGACTGCTACGCGGTGCTACGGGACGCCGATGTCTTCCCCATTGAGGTGGACCTGGCACACACCACTCTAGCCTACGGCCCTAACCAGAGTGGCTTCACTGATGGAGAAGATGAGGACGAGGATGAGGAGGACGGGGCAGCTAGGGAAGTGTCCAAGAATGCACGTGGGGCCACTGGGCCCATGGACAAGGGCGGAAGCTGGTGTGACTCCTGAGTGCCCCCTCAAGTGGACCTGGGGGGCAGGGCAGTGGGAGGACCGCAGCGGGAGCGGGGCGGGGCCACTGTAGGACAGCGAAGGCATGTGGTGGCGCATAAAGGCCTGCTGGCTCGCGGCGCCTGCCTCCCTGCTCCTCTGTCCTCGCACAGTGAACACAGGCTGCAGCCTGGGACCTGGACTCTGGCCCCCATCCTTCCCTCCCACCTCCCAGCTGGAGGGAGAGCTGGGCCTTGGACAGAAAAGAGGAGGGGCTGGAGCAGGCAGAGCGCAGGACCTGTCCCCGTGAGTACCTCGGTGGTGCCAAGCCTGCAGGGAACGGGAGCTGGGTGGACATCCGAGGCTGGGGCCAGCGTACCAGGCTGGCCCTGAGTCCGTGTGCACACCTCGGCAGCCTATATTTATTTGTTCCTGACTTAGCCTCAAGGGCTGGATGCTGGGCCTGTATTGAATAAACAGAAACCCAGACAGAACGGATGGGCTCCTTGCAATGGCTCAGACCCTCCTCTGCAACTAGATCTCAACTGCTTCCTGGGTCGTGAGGGAGGGTGGGACAAAGGCTTAGGCAGTTCTCTCTCTGTCCATTACTCATCTCACAGCACCTGCAGGAGCGGTTTTCTCCCATAGCCTCTGGGGTGAGAGGCCCAGGGTGGCATCTTGCTCAGGACCACACATGGGAACAGTGGGCGCTGAGCTTGCCACCTGCTCCCACTGCTTCTGGCATCAGTGGGCATTCTCCCTTCAACGCTTCAGTGTTCTGGTTGTGAAGTAAACCGTTGTTTGGGCAAGGGGGCAGAAGAGACACTGGTCGGGTTGATGCACGGCTAGGAAGACTACTCCAGGAACGCTGTTCAGTTCAGGGCCAAGGGGGCGCTAGGGAGGCGCTGCCACCCGTAGGCAGTAGTCTGCCTGCTGCCTTGCTGGGCTGGGTGTGGTACACACCTGCAAAGCTTTTACTCTGAACGCCCTTGAGGACGGGATATGGCCATCTGGAGAGCAGAACAGGCAAGGAGTGTGCAAGGTGGCAGGCAGGGTCCAAACTGGAAAAACACTTTGGCTTGGTAGCTTTGAGCTCTGCTGTCCTGGAAACTCAGGTGGGATTCTCAGGCTGTATCTGGAGTTGGAGGGAGATAGCCTGTCACCATCCATCCACATGGGGCCCAACAGAGGTGTCTGGCCATACTGCATCTCTGAAGAGACATCCAGTTTTGATGATCAAGGGCACAGATCAAAACCTACAGCTTGAAGCCGGGCACGTCTTTAATCCTAGTACTCGAGAGGTAGAAGCAGGTGGATCTCTGTGAGTTCAAGGCCAGCCTGGTCTACAGAGTTCCAGGACAGCCAGGGCTACATAGAGAAACCCATCTCAAACAAAACAAACAAAAAAACTACAGCTCGGAACCCAATAATGGCCTCTGTAACCCTGGGCTGATTTCTGTCGTCCTCATGCATGTTGCCCCGTCTGAAGTGTGGATAAATTCTACTTCATTGGGTTCTTAGGAGAATCAATACACCAACATTCATGAAGGGCTTAGACTACTGCCTGGCCAAGTAAGCACTCTTAGGTAAATGCTTAGATAAAATACTGTCCCATCGGGAGTCTGGGAGGCATACATGAATGTAAGTCAACCGAGCATTGCCTGGGTTCCTAAAACCTTGGATGGAAAATGAGGCCCAGCTTGGACCAGTAGGTGAGAAGGGGCCATTTGTGGGAGGGACTCTGCTGAGATCTAGCTAGAGTTGGGAGTGAGACAAGCAGGTCCTCACAGGTCAGAGTGCAAGCGTTGGGTGTAGGACATGGGCAGTCCTGGCACTTGGGTGGCTAAGATAGAATCTTTGGTTGAGAGAGGTCATGGCCCACAAATCCCTGTGGTAGAGAGCAGGTGCCCACGGAGCCACACCAGTGTCCTCAGGAACAGTGTTCCGACCAAAAGTGATGGGTCACTAGAATGTACCCTCTAGGGGGTGGCAACTAAGGGCAGTGAGGACATGCACACCTCGAGGGCCTCTGAGGTTTTGCTGCTGACCACCTGGCTCCCATGCTCTCTGGAACTGAAGCCTACACACAAAGAAGACCCAGGATAGGTCTCTGCTCCCGACTCTGACCTTGGACCCTGTGCTACTATGCAGATGGCGGCCAAATGTGCTTCAGCACACAGCATCCCCACCGGCCCCCAGTGTCTAGCCGGGATTCCCCCCACCATTCCTGCTGAGCTCCAATGGCTCAGGGGACTTCATGGGGACCCTTCTGACTCTTCTTGGCCCTCCCCAGCTCAGGTAGCCCAAGCCCTGGCAGAGGTACAGGAGCAGAATATGTCTTTCGGTAGGCTTTTATCAGCTTGTGCTCATCAGTTCACAACAGCTTCACTGGGAACAGGGCCTGGCCAATGGGGTACCCAAGGGATCACCCCAGGCTGCCTCCCCATGTACCAGGCCCTCAGAGGGGAAGCCATGTTTTCATGCCTGCTGGCCACTTGCCTGATGTCTACACAGACTCATGACCCAGCCCAGGCCCTGCCTCCACCTCTGGTTCTGGTCCTGGGGACCCAGCCCGGGGTCTCAGCACTTCCAGAGTCTCAAGACTGCCGGGCTCCTCGGTGCTGGCAGGCATTGGCTCAGAGTCCCTCTCAGCCTCCACATCCTCAGCGTCACTGGCTCCTCCTGCAGCAGCTGGGCCTGAGGGGGCATCCTTACTGCGCAGACAGCAGTAGGTGGCGACTGCCATGAAGACTCCGGCCAAGGCCACCTCAGAGCCAGCAAGGTAGAAGATGATCTCGTAGTTCTTCAGGGCATCCACCAGGCGGCCTGGGGGTGGGGTGGGTGTCACAACCTGTCAGGGTCCCCTCTACATTAATTAGAAGGGGCTTACTGGTGACACATGTTCTGTCTTTGTTTCTGTTTATAAATGCAAAACTCCACATGGACCCTTGCTTTTGAGACCCCAGATGTCACTTCCCTTCCCTGAACCTCAATCTAATGCTTCTGAGGACACAGTGTTTTTATAGTGTACAGGGTCCTCCCTCCACATCAGTGCAAGCCCACTTGTGGGTGTTAGGGTGGCAGTGGGGCTGGACCCAGCTCAGGGGGCTAGGACTGAGGATTCCCCAACTCTTTCTACATAATCTGGTCTATATGGATTTGGCTCAGCATCCTCATCAGGAGCTACAAGCCATCCAAACCGAGCTGGTGAGGTGCCTCAGCACAGGCTGGGGAGTGGGGCTCTGCCTGTGCTCCAGGAAAGAGGGCTCATTTCCTTCCATTGCCCAGGTTCCTTTCCTGGGCACAGTATTTCCATGTGTGGGGAAATCTCTAGTTGTATTGTGGGCGACTGAAACCAGGGCGTCACACATGCTAAGTATGTGATCTGCCACAGTTACATCCCAGTCCCCACTGCGCTTTCTTCCATGGGCTTCACTCTAGAGTATTCCCATGTCCACACCAGGCTGTGGCCTTCAGGAAGTTTCCTGATGACCATAACTTCACTCTATCTAAATGTCTCAGTCCTTTCCCGACCAGCCAGTCCTGTCTCTGGCCATACTCAGCTTTGGAGTGCCCTTCACTTTCTCACTGGACCTGCCTTCTTTCCCTATTAGATCCATCCAGCAGCAGGTGGTCCCTGGGCTTCCAGGTGGGCCAGCTTTGAGGCTTTTTGGGTGGCAGGCTTGAGAGAGGGTACCCACACACTGGCTCGGGGGTTTTGCCTTTCTTATTGGGTTAAGCAGGCAGACAGCTTGCTCAGAACACTCTGCCATCTGGCTGGCTCAGAAGGAAAGGTGGTAGCTTACTCCATCTCTGCGGCAGCCTGGGCTTCCATCAAAGCTTCCTCCTGCTATTCATTCCTGAAGCCCGACTATGGCCTCTCTCACTTAAGATTGGCTGGCTCCCTGATGCCTCAGGATAATCAGACAACTCAGGAAGATCTTGGTGTCCCCATCTCCGCCTTTCCGATCTTAGCTCAGGCCTCACTTGTAAGGTGACACTTTCCCAAGCAACCCCCAGCCCTTCACACTGTGCCGGCACCTGCAGAGCTATGCCAGGATGAGCAAAGGACCTAGCAGTCTGCGGGGGGGGGGGGGGGGGGGTCACCAGCACCTCTCCTCTCCAGCTGTCATCTGGGCACCCCTTCTCTGCTCCTAGCCAGGACTGGTCCCCTGTTCTGCCTTACCGGCTGGGGACTGAAGCATCCACACACATTTGGTCCAGGTTAGCTCTCCGCAGGGGCAGATCCGGGCCCACAACTCAGGCTAAGATTCTGGATCTAACCCCCTCCCGGGCCCTACCCCTCATGCACAAAGCCTTCATGCTAACTGCTTGAGAAGGCCGACATGCCCAAGACGGCTGGCTAGACGGCTATTAGTTGTGTGTATTTCTTCTTGAGACTGACCTCTAGCTTTTACATCCTCATCCCCCGGGGTGGTCCCTGATTGGGGGAGGAGCTACCTGGCCATAGAGGGAGTCCACCAACCAGGCTTTTCAGCAAGGGGACCTGCCTTCCCCTCATCCCTGGAAGTTCTATCTAAAGGGTTTCCCTTACATTATCAGGCTTAGCCACCCTTCCTACGGTGCGCACCGGCAGAGGGCGGTCCAATGAGCACAGCCACGGCCTCCACGAGCAGTACCAGGCCCAGCGCACTGGGAAAGCGGGGCGCACCCACGGTCGCCATGAGCACCTCGAACTGCAGCGCGCCCACCATGCCGTAGGAGAGGCCGAAGGCGATGCAGAAAGCCACGAGGGTGCCGTAGGTGCGCGCACGCGCGCTGATCAGGTCCGTGAGCCCGTTGGCCAGCAGGGCCAGGCTGAAGAGGTAGGGGACGTGGGGTCGCAGGCGCGCCAGACCCGCCAGGGCACCGCACGCCGGCCGCGCCACGATGTCCACGAAACCCACGATGGACAACAAGAAGGCGGCCTCGGCGTCAGGCACGCCCGCGTCCTTGGCGTAGTTCACCAGCAGGATGGCGGGCACGAAGAGCCCAAGCGCCATCAGGAACTTGGTGACCACGTAGACCACGAAGGCGCGGTCGGTGCACACCGCCACGTCCAGCAGGCGGCGGCGAGCCCGGCCATCGGAGGGCGCACGGTCCTCGGCGGGGTCTGGGCGCGGTGGGGGCGGGGGCCCTGGTGGCGGCCGCATGACGGCCCCGCAGGCACAGCAGTGCAGCAGGAGGCCACCGAACAGCAGGAAGCCGCCGCGCCAGCCGAAACGCTCCCCCAGCAGCTGGCCGAGCGGCGACAGCGTGGACAGGAACACCGGGCTGCCCGCCGCTGCCAGCCCGTTGGCCAGGGGCCGGCGCCGCTCGAAGTAGAGTCCCAGCATGATGAGCGACGGCTGGAAGTTGAGGGCCAGGCCCAGGCCTGCGGGCGAGGCGACGCGGCTGGCTGGGGTGTCCCCTCTGGCCCCAGCAGCTGGGCCAGGCTGGGCCGGGACCCGGAGGGTAAGCCCGACCCCGGGATGCTGAGCCAGATGACTCGAGGGCCGCCCCTTTGGGGGAAACTGGGAACTGAGAGACTTGCAGTAGGGACTCCCGACCCGCACCCACGTCCCTGCGGGGGAGAGACATGGGTGCCCTCACCTGTGAGCACCCCAGCTGTCAGGTACAGCTCCAGGAGGCGTGAGGCAAAGGAAGCCAGGATCATGCCGGCGGATGCCAGGAGCCCACCAGCCAGCATCACCCGGCGACAGCCAAAGCGCGTCACGAGGATGCTGGACAAGGGGCCTGTGGGCAGAGCAGGGTCACTGTCGAGGTTAGACCAATCTCCCCTCCAGAAAATGCGCCAAGCCTTGTACCTCTGAGGTCTGAAGGACCTTGAAGGGGTATTTACTCCCCACTCCGGCCTCTTCAGAGACTAAAGAGGGCAGGCAGTGTCTGGTTGAGGTGTAGTCACACAGCTTGACTGGGCAGACAAGGTGGAGTAGGGGGAGCGTGGCCACCCATCCCTAACCCTCTCGAGAACCCAGAACCAAAGTAGGAAGGATGGCCTCCACTCTTCATCTCTGCGTCCCACCAGACTGCCATCCTCCTGAAGGTTCCCACCCTCTCAAAACTCCAGCATTAGGGCTGTGGGGAGCTGGAATGCTTCTCCAGGTTAATGAAGCCCAGTGTGGGATTGTTGACAGGAATGAACCCAATCCCTGCAGGTCAGCAGTAGGAGCAGGTTTCCATTTCGATCTATGTGTCCTACCCACTCTTTCCTAGGGGGGTGGGGGGGTGGGGGTGGGGGATGGGGGTGGGGGGGTGGGGCGGGGCTTCTTTGGGCTCTAGATCCCCAACCCCAGATGCTGGACCCCAGGAGGCTCTGGGGGGAGTGCTGACCCGTGCCGTAGAGCATGGCCAGCATGATGGAGGACACCCAGGCTGTGTCGCTGTAACCTGCACCGAAGTCCTGCTTGAGCTCTCGGAAGAAGACGCTCACGGCCTTGGGGAAGCCATAGGCGAAGCCAGTGATCACGAAGCAGGCGCCCAGCACCACCCAGCCCCAGCCACCATCTGGGGGACCTGCACCCCGTCGCGGGCTGCCAGCGCCCATCGCCTCTACCTTTGCTGGGGAAGAGGGGGACAAAAGGCAGTGCTGTAGAGGAGTCAATTGAGACCTACAAGGAGAAACAGCCCCAGGCCGCCCACTGAGCCCTTTCAGGTTTATAAAGCCAGCAAGGTAGGGAGGTCACCCAAGTCCTGCCACCTTCCTGCAAAGGCCTGGGAAGGGTGAATGGAGACTTGACTTCAAGGATTCCTCACTAGGGCTCCTCTCCTCCTGGGACCTAGGGGAAGGGGTACAGTGAGTGCCAGTGCCCAGCAGCCACTGTGGACCCAGAGGGTGTGTGTGTGTGTGTGTGTGTGTGTGTGTGTGTGTGTGTGTGCGCGCGCGCGCGTGCGCACAGGGGAACTGTCAGTGTCCGCCATGAATACATGCAGGTTTGTGGGCAAATGGGCCAGTCACCCAGTGGGCCAGATGCCAGCTGCAGTGACCCTGCACCTTGTTCCTAACTTTTCTCAGTGACCAGGAATAAACTCATGATGAAAACCACAGGGGATCCTGGCCCCGTCTCAGCAGCCTTTGGTCCAGCTTGCGCCAGTTCTGGAAGGAGTGTGCCCTGTAACTTTGACAACCCTCCTCTCCAGTTCCCCCCCCCCCCCAGCAGGATGTACATCAGTACACCCACTGGAAACCTTGGGGAGGAAGGAGAGGTCTGGACCTCATGGGGAGGTGGTGACCTTGGAAGGGCCTCTGGAAGAGAGACCCGAACCCCAGCAGTTCATAACCTAGGCCCTCCATCCCTAGGCAGGGGTTCCAAAGTCCTACTGCACCCTCCAAAGAAGAGGAGGGTGGGAAGCCCTAAAGGCCCTGGGCTCTCCCTCCAGGACCTCTTCCCGGGCACACCTGGGACTCTGCCCTCCCCGGGTTCCAGGTTCTGACTTTCCTTGCCTGCTCGCCCCCACACCCAGCATGACTATGAACACAGGGACAAGAAGCTGGCCCCTGGCGGCCCTCACCACACACTCACCTGGACCTGACTCTGGATTTAGGGTCCAGCCTCACATCTCCTGAGGCCTGCAGGGAGAGGCTGCCTCCAGCTAGGAGAGGCTGGCAGATACCAACAGTCTTAGCTATGTGGCTGCGCTCCTGCGGACTCAACTCCTTCCCCAGGCCTGGGGCTTAGAGTCCCTCATCCCACCTCTGCTAAGAGGCTTTCACCAGTAAAGGAGTTGGGCACAAGGGACCGTGAGCCAGCGGGGCGGACATAGTGGGACAAGGGGCAAGGAGACCCCCCCTTTACCTCCTGGGTCCTTCTGACTGGCACAAAGCCCTGCCTTGAGGGGGTTGTAATCTGGGGCTGGGGGCACAGTGGTGCCCTGGAGAGACCCAGCCTGCCAAGTCACTTCTGTGTACCATTGTTCCCACCCCAGCCCCAGGTCACATTCCAGGAGGGGCTCCTGGCTTCCCTTGGATAAGGCTAATCCAGGCCTGAGCCTGGATGTGAGAGGGTGGAGGGCTGCTGGAACAAAGGGTGCTGTGTCCCAGCTGAGGGGAACAGGCACCATTCCTTGGGATGCCATTTGGAGATGGGGGGATGAAGGTGAGGACCTTAGTACAGCCTTAAAGACTTCAAAAGAAGAGTCCTGAGGGGCTGGGGGGGGGCAGATCTGAGACTCCATTCACCCTAGCGGATCCCCACCTCCAAGGCCTTACCCTGTCCCCAAATCAGACACCCTGGCTCTCACTGTGCCCACTTCCTTTATTTTTAATCAGTTACAAAAGTTAAACAGGGATTTCACGGGGCAGGGACGGAAGAGGAGGCACAGGCAGGAAGATGGGAGGCGAGAGGCTGGGTCCTGGGGGGAGACGTGGGGTCCCTGAAAGCAACAAGTTGCTCTGTGCCCCACCCCCCCTTCTCCCTGCTCCATGTGGCAGGCCCAGCCCTCAGTGAGCTCCTGGGCTGCAGGCAGAGGGGGAAAGATGGTCCCCTGGGTATCAGCGCCTGGCATCCGGGATCCACTGCTGCTGCTGTTGGCTGGAATAGCCCTGGGCAAGCGTGCTGGGGCCCTCAGGCCCCGGTGGAGGACATGGCCTCAGCGGATGAGGGGTGCTGAGCGGTCGTTGGTGACAGTGGGACGCAGCTTCACGGTGGCAAAGGGATTTGTACCCCTGTGGGGGACAGGCTGGCATGAGGGGGGCAGAGACCCCCGTCTATGTGCCTAGAGAGAGTGGCCAGGCAGCTGGCCAAGCGTCTGCTGCTTGCCGCCCGCCTGTTTCAAGTCACCTGCTACCATCTGGCTTCCTGCCCGTTGGGACTCACCGTGGAAAGAGCTCTGGGGGGTGGTGTTCCCAGGACATAAGTTTCTGCACGAAGGGAGGGCAGGTTCAGGGGTGAAGGGAAGATGGGGGTCCCACCACTCGCCCCAGGAGAGCACAGGACTGGGAGGTCGAGGCCTTGCAGGGCCAGATTCGAGGACACTGTGCAGCTCAAAGTCTAGTTTCAGAGAAAGCTCTAGGCTTTGCACAGTGCCGCGGCCTGGGGCTGACTGCCCCTGCAAGGTAAGGCTGGTAACCCCGTGGCCCCAGCCCACTCCTTCCCCGCCACTCCCACCCCGCATCCCCAGCAGAAGTGTGGCCAAGGTCTCCCTTGCTGGGCTACTCCATAGGTCGGGCCAGGCTGAGGACAGGTGGGGCTGACCTTGACATCGGTGGCTGCCCCCATGCTGCCCACACTGCTCCGCCTGCTGCTGGGCAAGGGTGTGGGTGCGGGGCTGGGGGCACGGCTGGGGACGCGGCTCTGGGTCCGGGAGCGCGACTGGCTATCCCAGTAGTCTGATGAGGCTGCGGGGTTGCCTGGCCTGTCCAAGAGGTCATCAAGGCTGTGGCTGCCCCGGAGGGGGTAGGACCTGAGTCAGAGAAAGCAGGCAGACCTGGTGCCCCCTCCCACTTGCTGGACCTGAGACTGGGGGGCCCTGACAGGAGGCACACCGCACCCTTCATTAGGAGGTGGGAAATCTGGGCACAGCTCTCCAGAGGCCAAAGAGGCCAGACCCATTAGATTATCTCACAGATGCCTCCTGGAGGGAGGGACAGGAACACCCTTGGGGCCCCACCCCGCCAACTAAGGTACCTGGAAGGCAGTTCATTCATTGGGCTCATGGGGGCCATGGAGTTCATGGGGGTGACTGGGTTCATGGAGTTCACTGGCATCTCTTCCAAAGGTTTCACATAGGCCTCAGGGAACCAGCCACTTCTGTAGGGCAGACATCAATGGCCCCTTAAGCAGGGCGGCAGCCCGGCTAGTTCTGAAGACCCTACAGACGGTGGCCTGGCTCACCCCACCAACATGGCTTTCCTGGTGTCAAGGCCTAACAGTGCCACTTAACTTCATGTCCCACCAGGGGCTGAGGCACCTAGGAGGGGAGTTGGCAACTAAGTCAGCAAGCAGGCTGTTCGGGGACATGCAGGGATGGATGCCCTCCAGCCACAGGCCCTCTGGTCCTGTCTCCATTTCACAGGGTTCGGCACCGGTTTGGAGTTGGCCTAGGCCAGTGAGTGGCACAGTTATGAGTGTCCCCAGCCACCAGTCTTGGTACCCCCCCCTTAATCTTTCAGAAAGCCCACGGGGGATGGGCAGTAGATGCTGGGAGAATATTCTCCAAAGAGTACCCCTCATCCAAAAGTGACTGACATAACAATCCGTGCGCTCCGTGCGCCCCGTGAGGAGACACTTTCCCCGACCTCCACCCTGCTGGCGGGTGGACAGTTGTATCTAGTCGGCTTCCTGTCAGGACTCTGGAAGCTATCTGTGGTGTGGCGTGGGTCTGCACGGTGGCAGCTGATTGCCTACAGCACACGCTGTCAGTCACCTGTGCTCCTGGTTCACAGGGCATGGATCCATCGACTTCCACCTTAATTAGACGCCACATTACCTCCCTCAGGCCCCACCTCTGCTCACCCACCCATACCTCACCCGGGAAGCCACCCATGGCCTCCTCCAGTGTATCCACTGGGGCACTGGTCACCCATCAGTCCCTCACCCATCTACTCAGTCCCCCTCAGTACATGAGGTGCTCACACCCCACATCCTCCTCTGTCCCCACCACCTGGTTCCCCTACCTGTCTTCTACTCCTACATGCTTCCACCTGGACCCCCAGACAACCCCATCCACTCCCTGTCCACCGTTGACCACCCCCCAGTCTTCTGTGGGAGTGTTCCTAGCTGTCACTCTTGGCCCTCCAGGGTTCACACACTGGCTTCTATCTACGTCCTCCTGTAAGTCCTGGGAGAGTTGCAGGCTCACACCCTGTCCTCCCCTTCCTAGACCCTGTACACTTCCTAGAGGGCCACCAGTCCCATTTGTGTGGACACTCAGGGGTGTCTGGCTCTCCCCACTCCACACTGGGGTGCAGACCAGCCCTGTAAGTTCCTGGGGGCTGTGAGCTGTACAGTGCCTGCAGGGCGGGGGGTGGGGGGCTTTCCCTCCACCTCCGTCTCAGCTCCAGCACAGGAGGACGCAGGGGGGCACACAGAAGACATGAAGGCAGTGGGGTTTTGCCGAGTCCCTCCTTTCTGAGCCCGCTGCCCATCCCATCTGTCCCCTTCTCCAAGGCCCCACTCGGCTCTCTCAGCCCCGGGAGTGGCTGAGTAGACGGAGGCGGGGCGGTTTGGAGAAAGGAAGGGAGTCGGAGGCCTGGAAACCCCGGTGGAGCGCAGACCCTCGGGCTCCACTCACGCGGACGAGCCCTCCAGCTTGCCGTAGAGCCAGCCATTCTGAGCTTCGGGCACCAGCACCTCAACGATGTCTCCAGCCGAGAAGCGCAGCAGCGTGTGGTTGGCACCCTCCGAGTGGGAGACCAGGGCGCGGACTCTCCTGGCACCCGCGCCGCCCAGGCGCTCGCCGAAGGAATTGGACCGTGAGCGCTGGGTGCTGCTGGCGTAGAGCGAGGCTGCGGGGATGAGTGAAAGTTCTCCCTGCAGTCTATCCTCCTTCCCTCCTGCTGCAGCCCCGCCCCCAGCCCCTTCCTGGCCCGCCCCCTGCACCTCTGTGCGTGGGGTACCCACAGGCCGACGGTGTCCGGGGCAGTGATCGGCGGTCTAGCTCCAACTGGGACGCGGACCTCGCCTCGGCGGGCTCGGGGCCGTAGGAGCTGGAGCCTTGCCGGCTGCGGGGGGAGCCATACTCTCCCAGGGACCTCGGGGGCTGCGAGGGGAGAGGGCAGGGGGGTGGGGCGGGAGGGGCGGAGCCTCGCTAGCCCCGCCCCCAGCCCCAGTCCCAAGCGTCGGCGTAAGGGTTGGGGACCCGGTGGGGCCACCACGGGGGTGCAGAGGCGAGCCCCCGGCGCCAGGGCGCAAGGGGTGCAGCGTAGAGCGGGGGTGCGAGGGGCGGCGGGCTCCAGGCGCAGGGCGGCGGTGCCCAGGGCCCAGCGAAGGGCGGCGGGGGCGCGAAGGGCGGCGGGGGCGGCCAGGGCCTCACCATGTCCAGCCGGGTGGGCGTCAGGCGGCCCGAGGGGTAGGGCGGCCCCAGTGTCGGGCCCAGCAGCCCCGGGGAGTGGGCGCGCGACGGGCTGCGGCTGGCCTCCGACTGCTCCTTCCACAGCAGCACGCGGTTCTGTAGCATCCCCCGGGCCTGGCCGGAGACACTGGGTCAAGTGTGGCCCGCCGGACTCCGGGGTCCGACAGGTGTCACAGCTTGGAGTTTGCTTAAGACACCACCCCTTATCTGCGATCCTGACTTTCATGTGCAAGGGCCCGCACACTGGCCCCTTGCAGAGGCAGCCCGGGCAGCCCAGACCTGTTGGGCTTAACCACATCATCTGAGGCCTGCCCATCCTTCCCTGACCCATTCCTTATGGAGGAAACCATGGGCCTGTCAGTCTCTGGGCTCCATAGGGGACCATGGTCCTTCACCATGCACGCATCTGGTGCACGCACGGGTCCTACTCTGAGCAAGCTGTATGCTTTATCATATAAAATAAGGCGAACTGGTAAGCTTGCGCAAAGCAAAGTGTCTAGGCTGTGTGGGACCTCCTGGGCAAGCTGGCTAGCTAATGAGCCCAACAACCATCAGGCTCCGGTTCTGCAAGACTCTGCCTCCGTTCACAAAACGGAGATGGAGCCGGGCGGTGGTGGCGCACTCCTTTAGTCCCAGCACTCGGGAGGCAGAGCTAGGTGGATCTCTGTGAGTTCGAGGCCAGCCTGGTCTCCAAAGCGAGTTCCAGGAAAGGCGGAAAACTACCCAGAGAAACCCTGTCTCGAAAAAGCAAACAAACAAAAAACCAAAAAAACAAAAACGGAGATGGAGCAAAGGAGACAGCTGCCTCTATCTCACAGCTCTCCTGGCGGTCCCATTACTACCTCAGTCTTACAGAAGAGGGGCAGGGAGCTCAGTGATGGTCTCCCAGCCACTGAGCAGCAGAGGCACCTGCCACGGCCACCTTTCAAGGGTTTCTCCCTGGAAGCTGGAGCAGCTGCTGACGACCTCAGAGCAGTGACCAGGAAGCAGCTGGTCCAGCAGGCCTGGGTGGACACCATGTTTCCTTGCAGCCAGGAATTAGCATAGGAGCTCAGAGAGATGCTTCAGGGGCAGTGAACGGCTGGCACACGGGCCCTGCCTGTCTAGTTTAGAGGGACCATTCCCGAGTTGAGAGCCCCTGGCCAGGCCTAAAACACCAAGGCTGGCCTGGCATCACTTACTTCCCTCAGTCCCGCCCAGTCCTGCTAACGAGCACCCAGGGAGAGGCAGAGTGGAGCTGGAGTTCCAAAGCCAGAGGAGACACCATGAGGGAAACTAGAAGTACACAGGTGGGTGGAAAGGGATTCTCGGATGGGAGGAGGAGACGGCTCAGAGGACAAAGGAGCTGCTCAAGTCTCGTGACCCAGGGAGGAAGCCTGATGCTCAACACTCCCGCAGCGAGATGGGAGGTGGCGACAGCTACCTGAGGTCAGTCAGTCTTAGGACCTACTACACACATGCATGGGCATGAACAACACATGGAAATGAAGCAGTCTATAAATTAATAAGCAAGATTAGATGAAAGAAAAGATTATGATGGATCCCAGTGAAGAAAAAGGACTCTGAAAATGGAAGAAATGCCAGTCTCACGTATGAAACTCATACTTCTGAGGGGACATTCCACATAGAGGTCATTTTACTCTCTGATTAGCCAAAATTAAAGAAGCAGCCCCTGGGGCTGGAGAGATGGCTCAGAGGTTAAGAGCACTGCTTGCTCTTCCAAAGGTCCTGAGTTCAATTCCCAGCAACCACATGGTGGCTCACAACCATCTGTAATGAGATCTGGTGCCCTCTTCTGGCCTGCAGGGATATGTGCAGACAGAACACTGTATACTAAATAAATAAATAAAAAAAAAAAAAAAAAAAAAAAAAAAGAAGCAGCCCCCAGGCTATCACTGAGGGGCCCAGACACGAGCATCTCATGTACTGTGGGCGGATGTACACGTCAGTGCAGTGAAGCCCGTGTCCTCGGGCTCACCCACTCCATCTGCATCTGGAGACGGTTTGCTGGCTGTGTCACACACACACAGAGGAGGTGGGTGAGGTCGGAGGAAAGGCCTGACCAGTAGAGAGATGGGAAAGACCCTCCCCAGGGTCCAGGCCCTTTTGCTTTTCTTCACATCTTGCTCTACGCTTTCTGCTTCCTTATTGTAAGACAATATGGTGGGTAACATATGGCCAATAGCCTTAGGTCATGAGGAATCGAGGCGGGCTATACTGGGCAACAGCCCCAAACCGTAAGGAATTGCTTGGCCCCAGCCTTCCCACGCTGCTTCACCCTAAGAAACACTACGCACGGGTATTGCAAACAAAACCCTGCTCCCGGTCAAACGGCACAAACCAGCTGTAACTCCCTGGTAGCTATGACTAGATATCTATGCGTGCCCCCAGCCCCTCTAAATGCCCCAACCTTCACCCTGTGGAGGGTTGGGGTCCTCACTGTTCCAATAAAGAGGCCTCGGTCCGAGCGCTTCTCTGCTTCATCCTTACATCTGGTGCCGAAATCCAGGACCCTTTTAGGGTCTTCCAGGCAGAAAGTCCCCCTTCCCCACTCCCCCAGGGTCACTCCTTTGGGAGCACAGACACCCTCAATGCTCACTATATAGGCATACAGCCACCAGTCCAACCCGAGACCTCTGGTCTTTGTGGCCTCTGTCCCCATGAGTAATGTAAGTCCTGTCGACAGAACCTCGGTTCTGACCTCAATGCTCTGCTCTGAATGCTCTGAATCTTCCCATCCATCTTCATCTGCCTCTTCTCCCAACCCACAGCTGCCAGCCATGCACCCAGATTCTTTCTTTGTTGTTGTGTTGGGTTTTGTTTGTTTGTTTGTTTTTTTAGTTTTTAGTTTTTTGCGACAGGGTTTCTCTCTGTAGTTTTGGTGCCTGTCCTGGATCTTGCTCTGCAGCCCAGGCTGACCTCAAACTCACAGAGATCCACCTGACTATGTCTCCCGAGTGCTGGGATTAAAGGCGTGCGCCACCACCGCCCGGCCATGCACCCAGATTCTACAGGACAAGGTAACTCAGAGGCGCTGACTAGACGCCAGGGGCTTCCTATTCCTCCAAATCACTGAAGCTCAGAGGTTCTGGGAATCCCCTACATGTAACTTTGTGATTGCCCCAAGTCTCAGTGGGGATGCCCCCTCCTAATACTTGGGTCTTTTAATCCCAGCACTTGGGAGGCAGAAGCAGGCGGATCTCTGTGAGTTCAAGGCCAGCCTGGTCTACAGAGTGAGTTCCAAGACAGCCAGAGCTGTTACACAGAGAAACACTGCCTCAAAGAAAGAGAGAGAGAGAGAGAGAAAAGACAGACAGACAGAAAGAAAGAAAGAAAGAAAGAAAGAAAGAAAGAAAGAAAGAAAGAAAGAAAGAAAAATGGAGGACAGCAAGACAGCTCTTTGTAAAGGAGACTGCGGCAAAAGCCTGATTGATGATCTGAGTTGAGTCCTGGAAGCAGGTAAAGGTTAAAAGAGAGAACCAACTCCACAGAGTTGTCCTCTGACCCAACTAAATACATGCCGTGCACATGAACGAACAAATCATGAGTTAGTAATATCCGCAAATGAACACAGAAACAGAGCTGTGAGGTTGATTCCGACTCCGATGAAGAAAGGACAGGAAGACAGAAGGAAGGAGCGTCCCTGCTTCCTGCACACAGCTGGCTCAGGAGGGCAGGGCTTGCTCTCCCCAGCCCCACTCACCCGGCCCAAGAACTGCAGGAAGGTGTTGGACAGCAGCAGGTGCTTCTCAGCCAGGAAGCGGTAGCGACGCTTCTCTTCCAGCTCGGCTGCGCGCTTGCTCTCGGACACGAAGGCCTGCATCTGTGCGTGCAGCCGGTTCACGCTCTCCTGGGGGCAGAGGGAGAAGGTTCTGGCTGGAGGCCTGAGCCCTGTCCTCAGATGCCCCCTCTCCAGGCCTCCCCTGAATGCATGGTTTGTGTCCCTGCATCTCTGGTATCCTGCACAGGGGAGTGCAGAGGTAGCCCAGAGTCTGAGGCAGGGATGGCAGCTGGGAGTGCCCCGGCAGGGACTGGATGCCTCTTTTCAGGCAGGCTGGGGGTGGACCCATTTTTGCTACCCATTCAAGAGCACAGGACCAATGATCCTATTTTCTCAGTGAGCCTGAGGAAGAGAGAGGTGCTGAGGGTGGCCTTTGGTGACTCTCCTCTGCTGTGCTCCCCACAGCTAGGATCATTTTGGGTGGAGGAGCCCAACCCCTTGGCCTTCACACCTTCATCTCCCGCGCATTCTTGTCCCTCTTGCGTTCCATGCGCCACAGCTCAGACATGCACTTCTCCAAGTTGGCCGCACGGTGGCGATACTCAATCTCATAGTGCTGGCAGCTCTCCTAGGGGAGGACAGACAGACACAGGGGGGATCCCACATCAAAGAGGCCAGGGCTCAGAGGAGTAGACAAGGAACCAAGGGGCCCAGATGGGACTGTACAACCTGGGGCAGGTGGATGCTTGGGGCTGGCCTAGCTAGCCCTCTCCTGCAAGGGGTGTGTGTGTGTGTGTGTGTGTGTGTGTGTGTGTCTGTGTGTGTGTGTGTCTGTGTGCGCGCGCGTGTGTCCTGTCTGGGAGGGGCTGGGGCAGAGGGACAGACTTACTTTGATGAACTGCATGTCCAGCTTGGTATTCTTCTCCATGTGCTGAAGCAGGTCTCCATGGAATGTCTGCACCTGAGTGGAGCACAAGTTGGGGGTGACCAGGGTGCCCTCGGACCCCAACAATGCTGCCCACCGTATTCCTAACACACCAGGCCGCGGTCCACATGATGGTAAGGTCACGTGGCTGGAGGGAGGCTTGCGTAGTTGACCAGGTGGTTTCCGGCTTGGAATCCTTCAGTGAGTGTGTTGAAGACTCTTGGGTCTCATTTTTCGTCAGTTTGGGCCTTGTGCATTCTGTCCCCTCAGCCTGTGGTTTCTGATCCATCTCCAAATGTGCTTTCCTGTCCCTCTGCTGAGAACCCTTCCTGCCTCCCCAGGCAGAATCCACAGCCCTCCTTTGTTTCTAGAAAGCACACACATTCCTTTGCTCTTCCAGCCACGGGGAAGAGTTTACTGCAGTTCCCTGTCCACAGTCCACTGGAACTGCAGTTGAGTGTGAGGAAGCGCAGCTCGGGTCCCAAGGTGTTGCAGAGCCTGCCCTGTAGAAGGGTCCAGAGCTGCAGAGGCCTGGGAAGGGGAGGCACGTGGGGAGCACCTCCTGGGAGGCAGGAGAAAGCGGCTGAGCTGAGGTTCAAACAAGCTGCCTATCAGCCTCATTCTGCTTCCGATGTGCTTTGTGACTTTGGGTTAGGTGCTGTCCCACTCTGGGCCTCAGTTCCCCAGGGCTTGGTCTTATGCTCTCTAAGAACCTGAGGAGTTCTGATGCTATGGGCTGGGTAGGGCCCTGGCACATCCCTATACCCTCTGTCAGCTTCCCTGAGGCCTCCCGATGCTGGGGAGGAGTCAGTGGAGGAGCCATTGGGTGTGAGCTGCCTGGGAACAAGATTACCTCCGCCCCTCTGACATGCTCACTTCTGCCAGCTCTGAGTGACTTTCCTGTATCCATTCTTCACCTGTGGGAGGCTTCCTGCTGCCCTGGGCCCTTTCCACGGGGCTAAGGTACCACACAAAAAAGGAATGCTGGGAACTTCCCCATGTGCAGAGAGTTAGTATACTAGAACATTCTTAAGGTTCTCCCATGGTTGTTCCTAAGAACTTGTTAGTGGCTGGTCTGCCAGGAACCTTGAAGCTCCTTTTTGTACAAGTCAAGTCTTTGAACGATTGCCACTGTCACCAGCCTGTGCCTGGGGATGCTTATAAAAACAGCAAACAGAAATGGGGATCATTCTAGAACATAAGGTAAGTGTTCCTACCGGATGGGACCACTGGATAGGTGTGGCCCTCAAAGCACTGTCTGTTTACATCTGACATCCTTGTCCACCCTGCCCTCTTCATGATGCTCACTCACACCAAAGAGACAGTCCAGGATTTCCATGCAGACACATCTGTGTGTTCCCGAAAACCTCATCTACACAATCTGCCAATATAAACCGGAGCCTGGGGAAGGTATGGGGCTGGGCACATCCTCAAAGCCAGGCCACTCTGTGACCAGAGCATTGGTAAAGACAATGAATGGTAGTTATGTAGCCACAGAAAGCTATAGAACATTTTAAATGTACCAAACTAACAGACCGGACACACTCGGAATGCTTTGACTGGGAGAGCCTGCCTGTGGAGACCGTGACCTAGGAAGACACAGAACTTCAGGGTGGGCATGAGAAGTAGAACAGCCTGCCCTGACGGCTGTGCAGCTGAATTCCCTTGACATTTCCCTCAAGCACAGCCTGCAGAGCTCTCCAATGCAGCTCTCCAATGCAGCTCTCCAATGCAGCTCTCCAATGCAGCTCTCCAATGCAGCGGTGAAGCGGAGGCTCTTTTCTTTGCTGCCCATGTGGGCTTTCCCTGTCCTCGTGTCTCGGCTTCTGTGGGGGGCAATATGGCTCCCTCTGTCTTCTGTCCTGTGTGAACTGAGGCACACACATGCCACGGACAAAGACAACAGGACAGGACAGCGGCATCTCAGTCTCTCCCACTGCTGTGGCATGGCTGTGATGGCCAACGGCACAGAAGACACAGGCCAACTCCTCAGGTGGGGGTCAAGTGTCACAAGGGAAAGTCTCCCTCAAGCTGAAGTGGTCCTACTGAGACTGAACTGAAGCCAGAGGAATGCCTGTGATCAGCAGGTGACTTAGGACACAAGGAAGTCGCCAACCCCGGGGAAGGCTAAGGGACTCCCTCCTGCTATTGTTACACTGCACACTCATGGCATAAAAGGATCCTGTGAGGTCCCGGATACAGACACAGGAAACCGAGGCCAGCCGCACAGTGCAGATCTCGAAGCTCTGTGAGGGGCCGGCAGCCCAGAGAACCCTCTTGCCATGTAGGCCAGGAGCCTCCCTGCCTTTCTTTGCAGCGCTGAGTGTCAAACCCAGGGCCGAGCTCTACCACTGAGCTACAGCCTCGGCTGGATAAGGAGCCTCCTGAAAGCTGCCTCGATGGAACAACCCTGCTGTTCCCCCACTCAGCCCCCAGCTCAGCCATCATGCCAATAACAAGGCTTTTCCAGTTCACCAATGACAACGACCCCACACCACCACACCGCTCCATTCCGTGCCAGCCTGGGACTCCTCACCCCACATGACTGGCACTCACTCCTCCTCAGGTACCTTCCCTCAGCTTTGCAGCTTAGCCCGACCTTTACTCTTCTTCCTCCCTGTGACCCCTCAGGGTGGCCTCCTGACCCCGGAAGGGCAAACTCTGCTCCTGCCACACCTTGGTAAACTCCTCAGTGCTCAGGTTGATAATCCCCAGGTGCACAGCCCGGGCCCCACCCAACCCGACTGACTTCCCAGACCTCTGATTCCTTGCTACAAGGCACCTCAGATGACAGCAACCAGGTAGGTCTAGTCTGGTGTTCTCAAACTGTGGGTCGTGACCCCTTGGCGTCGCAGATCAGATATTTACGATTCATAACAGTAGCAAAATCACAGTTAGGAAGTAGCAATGGAAATAATTTTATGTTGGGGGGGTCACCATACCTTGAGGAACTGTATTAAAGGGTCACAGCATTAGGAAGGTTGAGAAGCACTGGTCTAGTTGGTAGCCTGGATGGCATCCCACCTTCTCCCTCCATCTCTCAGAAAATCCCCCATCTTCTGCCCTCCATCTCCCTAAGTCTGATTTCCGCCCTGTACCACCGCACGGCCACCTCTTCCCCAACCACATCACCCTTCCCCAAGAGACTGCAACCATCTCCTGCTGGTCTCCACACTTCCGCCCTTCTTCCCTGTACTAAAGCTTCTTAGTATGGGAGCCACACTCATCCTATTAGAATATAAGCCAAGCCAGGCGGATCTCTGTGAGTTCGAGGCCAGCCTGGGCTACCAAGTGAGTTTCAGGAAAGGCGCAAAGCTACACAGAGAAACCCTGTCTCGAAAGACCAAAAAAAAAAAAAAAAAAAGCCAAGCAATGAACAACTGAGTTGTTTTGTTTTGTTTTGTTTTTCTTTTTTTCTTTTTTTTTGGTTTTTCGAGACAGGGTTTCTCTGTGTAGCTTTGCACCTTTCCTGGGACTCACTTGGTAGCCCAGGCTGGCCTCGAACTCACAGAGATCCGCCTGGCTCTGCCTCCCAAGTGCTGGGATTAAAGGCGTGCGCCACCACCGCCCAGCTGTTTTGTTTTTCTTGAGGTAGGGCCTCACTACACAGCCCTGGCTGGCCTGGTACTTGCTATGTGGACTGGAGTAGACTTTTATTCACAGAGATCCTCCTGCCTCTGTCTCTCAAGTACTGGGAATAAGGTGGGACATACATCTACAGCATCTTTTTTTTTTTTTTCTTTTTTAAGATTTATTTGTCTCGTACACAGTGTTCCGTCTGCATGTACACCTGCAGACCAGAAGAGGGCACCAGATCTCATTACAGATGGGTGTGAGCCACCACGTGGTTGCTGGGAACTGAACTCAGGACCTCTGGAAGAGCAGCCAGTGATCCCCACCTCTGAGCCATCTCTCCAGGCCACAAGTGAGGTTTTACTGAGACAGGGTCTTGCTATGTGGCCCAGGCTTTCCTTGAACTCAAAATCCTCCTTCCTCGGAATGTTGTGATTACAGGTATGTGCTGCTTCACCCAGCTAAGCAATGAACATCAGAAAAAGAAGTTGGTAATGCCACTTACTAAAGCCATTTACATGACTTCAAAAACATCAAATAGGGCTGTGAGGACGGACAGCTCAGTGGGTAAAGCTCTGGTTGTAGAAATGTGAGGATCTGAGTTCAAATCCCTAGAACCCATGTAAAGCAACACTCAGCAGCCCAGAGAATCCCAGTGAGCCTTTGGCAAGATGAGACAGAAGGTCGAGACAGGAGAATCCCTGGAAACTCGAAGGCCAGCTAGCCTGGAGCAGCCCTCGGCAAACAACAAAGATGCCGTATCTCAAACAGGTAAAAGGCAAAGACTGAGACCCGAGGTTGTCCTCGACCTCTACAACTGTGCCGTGGAGTGGGCATGCCCAGTACTCACACACAAATGAACGCACGCCATACAGCGTACACAACACACACAGAGACTTTAAAACATCTGACAACCAGGAACTAACCTGTCCTAGGATGTGTAAGACTGCTAGGCTGCAAAGAACACAAGACTGCTTAGAAAAATGAATGAGGGCTCTAGCACACGGGTGATCTGAAGACACACGGTTAAGGTACCCCCAGCCCCCCGAGCAATTTCTGTCCAATTCCAGCAGGCTTTCCTGAAGAAACTGACAGGCTGAGTCCATGATTAATAAATACACGGAAAGGGAAAAACAAAAACAAAACAAAAAGCCAGGAGGTGGCGGCGCACGCCTTTAATCCCAGCACTCAGGAGGCAGAGGCAGGGGAATCTCTGTGAGTTCCAGGCCAGTCTGTCTACAAAGCTAGTTCCAGGATAGACAGGGCTACACAGAGAAACCCTGTCTCAAAAACTCAAAATAATAACAATAACAATAATAATAATAATGAACAGATTGATCGATGATAGATAATAGACGATAGATAGATAGACAGATAGATAGAAAGACAGAAAGATGGAAAGGGGTCTCAGCAGGCAAATGATCTCACCAAAGAGAAGAGATATTCTTAGCCCGCCTGGTCTG